CTCCTTCCTCCCTCTCTTCTCCCCTGCCTCCCTCTCTTCTCCCCTGCCTCCCTCTCTTCTCCCCTGCCTCCCTCCCCTGTCTCCTTCCTCCCTCCCCTCTCCCCTGACTCCCTCCCCTTTCTCCTCAATACCTGATTTGAAAATATGGTTAAAATTTTTTAACTGTATCTTCACCTTGAAGCAATATTTGCATCCAGAGATATATAGGAAAAACCTGTCTTTTTGTATTGATTTGTTAGCTTGCAGTTATTAGTTTATAATATTACATTTATATAGTAAATATATGATATTTCACTTTTTTTCCTGAGGGGATAAAAAAAATGACATTGTAAACTCAGGTGAAATACAACTAATAAGCATTTTTATAACTTTTCATTCTGATTTGTAAATAAATACCAGTTCAGGGTAGGAATTTACACAACACTGAAAAATGTAAAAATTAAAATATATTTATGTGCTATCCTATAGTCCAATGATAAACAATGGTAATATTTTGGTATATTTTTAAATAGTCTGTGTATGTTACACATGCCTGAACTGGGACCATGGTGGGTATAATTTTTATAAATATTGTCCCGTTTTATACTTTCTGCTTTATAATAGGGGAATTTAGTTTATTTACATTTGTATTCATCTTCTTTCTTGTTTTCTGTTGTCTTGATACAGTTTTCAATATTCTATCCCCGCCCCTTTCAGTAACCATTTTGGAAATTCTAGATAATATCCCTATTAATTTTCTGACCGATCTTAAATGTTAACATGCTTGCTTTCTTTTTTTAAAAAAATATTTCATTGTATTTTTGGTGAAAATATACACAGTAAAACCTACTCCCATTCAACAATTTCTACACATAATGTTTAGTGATAGTTGTTACACTGTTAATTGTTGTCCATTTGGTCTCATATAGGTAATTTTTTTAAAAAAGAGTGCAGTACTCAAGGGTAACATTCTTTACTTTTTGAACTAACCTGCTGTTTAATTAGAAGGTGACTTCGGGGAATAGTTGTGCTTCAAGGTTTCAGAAGTATCTCAGGGCAATAGTCTCAGGGATTCCCCCATTCTCAATGGGTCCAGTAAGTCTGAATTCTGTAAGAATTTGAAGTTTTGTTCCACATTTTTCTCCCTTTCTATCAGGATTCATGTATTGTGTCCCTGATCAGAACGTTTGGTAATGGTAGCTGGACACCATCTAGTTCTTCTGATCTCAAGGTAGAGGAGGGAGTGGTTCACGGAGACAGTCGTGTAATCTGGTTCCTTCTCTGATTGTTGGGTTTCTTTCTTTCTCTTTTGCTCCAGACAAATAGACACTAATAGTTCTATCTTAGATGGCTGCTCGTAAGCTTTTAAGACTCCAAACACTACTCATTAAACTAGGAGGTAAAATATAAACTTTAAGAACTATATTATGCCAATTGACTGAATAGTCCCGGGAAACCATGACCCTAAGTCTTCAAACCAAGAAAACTAATC